CTTATCTCCCAGATTTGGCACACAAAGTGGGGGACCAGGATAGAGGGCAAGAGAAGAGAAACTCAACACTGAACCTGAGTGACAGGGAGCAGCAGGGAGATACTCTCCCTCTCTTCTTTTCTGGTTGTTGACTGGACTTGCAGTAGCAGCCCTACATTCGGATGACAGGCATGGATTCGTATCCCCTTCCCCCTTGTGTGCCATCAGAGCCATGTCACTCAAGTCACTCTTTCACTCAGTGCTATCCAGTTGGAAGTGACTCATAGCTGACCTCCATTGGGTTTCTGCTTGCCCATCTTTGTTCCAACGAGCTGCTGATTGGTTGGAGGCGCCAGAGAGGTGTGGCCTGTGGGTGAGCAGCGCATGCCCCTGAGGAGTCCACCACCAGATCTCCCTCATTCAAGTAGTGAGGGCTTGTTTGAGAAGCTGAAATCTATAGAGGAGAATGAACAGCAGACCTATTATTAAAATACCATTAGTTGGAAACATGTCCCAAAACTTACAAACATCCAGCTCACAGCAACTGTAAGACCAGAGAACTGCCTCATGGGATTTTCCAGGAAGTGGTTGCCAGGCCTTTTGTCCTATGGAGCTGCTGGGTGAGCTCACACCAACAGCCTTTGGATAGCGACTGAGTACCTAACCATTGCACTACCATTTTGATAGAGAAGACATAAGTTACCAATATCAGCAAACATCACTGCAGATTCCTGTAGACACTGGGAACACTTTCATTCTGATAAATCCAGTAACTTACCTAAAAATTATATTCCTTGAAAAACACAAACTCTAATAATGCTAACTTAAGAAGAAATAGTCTCAGTAATCCTATGTCTGTAACTTTCCCACAAAGAAAACTCACAGCTTTGTGGAAGAAATTTAAGGTAGAGAGAATACTAATCCTATGCAGTCCTAATTCTATTTGTGAAAGTTTTGTCTCTGGTAAAAGGGTTTCAAACATCAGGACATAGGAAATAGGCTGTTTTGGACAGGGAACTTTGGGACCCTTAAAGAGACCTTTGTGACCCCTGTTAAAAGCTCTGGAGGAGGCAAGGAAAAGGACAAGGCCAGGTTCTGAGAGGGGCTGAGGTCAGAAGGATGAAGGACCTAGAGGAGCAAGTGAGTGATTCTAAGGAAGCTTCCAATTTAGGCCTCATCTCCTGCCTTCCTCCCTCCAGCATTTCTGAGAGACTTTTCTCTCTCAGCAATAGTAGAGAGAGGAATAATACATTAGCCAACAATTAATAAAGGTCATCTAGTCTAGGCTCTGGGGTAGGCTTTGAGGGGCTCAGGAGACTAGGGGAGATCTGGAGAAGGGTTTGTAGGCCCTGGGTGTGTACCGGAATGACTGCTGGCCTGTGTCAGGGGCCTAAGGTCAGAACCAGTTATGTGCTGGGTACGCAGGTTGCAGTGGCCCCTTTGCCTGGGACTCTTAAGAAGGCTCTCTCCAAGAGGCGTCTGAGCTGGGCTTCCATGACTGGCTAGAGGTTGGACTGTCATGGGTGTTAAAGTGGACATTTCAGGATTTGAAGCAGAAGTTCGGGTGTCTGGACAGGGACCATTGTAAAGAGGATGTGGGTGGGTACCAGGCCTTGGGAGAGTAGCCTCTGTGGGAGAAGGTGGGTGTTGAGGAGGCTGGCTGTTCTGGGGGTCTAAGGAGAGCCATCAGGGTGGGTGGATAAGGTGGGCTGAGACTTAGGGAAGGTCAGCTGGGAAAAGGGAGGGGCTGTGCTAGGCAATAGGCAGCTGCCTTCTCTGGAGTAGAAGGTTTGAAAGGGCTTCTTTGTGATGAGGGCTCAGGTGTAGCACAGGGGGAAGTTATGAGAGTAGGAACTGAGGAGGAGAATGGTGTGTTGGTGGAAAGGGTTAGGCAGTGAGACTGATTTTAGGGTCTCTGGGTGGGCACATGTTTGTAGATCCTCTGGAGATGTGGTTACACTCGGTTTCTGCCTAAGCTCTTGCTGGGTGTCTCCATCAGGGACCTGGGACTAGCTGGGACTGAGTGCCAGATACAGGCTGTATGGGGGTGCAGGAAAGGCAACTGGCCTCAGTCAGATCTGGTTTTGGAAACTCAGTACCGCTCCTGATACACTGCCTCTTATCTCCTTGGCAGGAATGCAGGCAGGGATCACGAGGCCCTTGATCCAGTCCTGCAGCCCCCCCTTGCAGGTTGAATGACCTTGGCAAATCTCCTTTCCCTAACTACCATTTCCCAGGTCTCCCTGGGGTTGATCCGAGGGCCTGGAATGCAGTGAGCCTTCTAGTCCTCTGGTTCTAAGGCTCTCTGAGGCCAGATAAATCCATGAGGCTGTTCTGTGTCCCCTTCCACCATCTCAGGCACGGTATGGGGGTTCCGGGCCGTTCCCACCTTGTGACTTGGGCCAGGCTGCTCCCTGCATGACTTCCCAGATTGGGGTCATCCTTTGTTTCCTGTTGTCTGCAAAGCTCATGTTGTTCCCCACCCACCAACCTGCTGGGCATTTAAGAAAAAATTCTGTTTGGATAGTTGGGTGTTTTCTCATTAATGAGTAACTTGGCCTTTGCTGAGGCCCTTAAGTGTCTCTGGGACTCCAGAAGGGTGGAGGTGTGGTGGCAGCCGGGCAACAGGCAAGAGCAGGCCAGCTGCTGTAGCTGCGCTTGACCTTGCTCCAGGGCTGGGGAGGGGCATGGCACTTGCAGAGGACTGACTGCTGGTTGTCATTTGGGAGGGAACTTCTTATTTGAGTAGCCAGACTTCAAGCTGGTTTTTCTGGTTAGCATCCAGTCAGGGACAGGTAGAGTCATGGGACTCATTTGGAGAACACTGTGGGTTTGAGTGTGTTAGAGACGGTGAGGCTGGCACAGGACAGGACTGGGTACAGATCCGCCGTTCATAGGTTGTGAGAGTTGCAGTCATCTCACTACCTTCTTTGTTCTGTTCTTCTGTTCGCCTTTTCCTCGTTGGCCATCACTTGTATTCCTCTATGACCTGCCGTGCCCAGCGAAGGCCAGCACGCTCTGGTCCTTGTTCCAGCAGCTCCCAGTCTGTCCTCTGGTTCCTGCTCCTCAGAACACTGGCCTCTGCTGGGCCTCTACCTGCTTTGGCAGCCTCCACCCATGTTCTCCTTCGTCCTGCCTTTTGCTCAGACTCCTGTGTGCAATTTAGCCTGTGTCCCTCACTGGGAACACCTTTCTTGCTCCCGTCTCTCCATCCTGCAGTACCCAGGTCCTGCTTGCCATTCAGGGAGAAGTCTCTTTCATCCCCCCTCTGCTCCGAACCTGCTGACCTCCTAGGAGCTGCCACGCTGGCTCAGTCTTTTTGTAGCCTCTCCTCTGTGAGACCGAGCCCACCTGGACCGACTGGCTCACAGTGTGAAGCCCTTTCTCAGGGCTAGGCCTCCAGCCTGGTTTTGGTGGTCTCTGTTCAGTTGCAGGGGATGAATACTGGCAGGAAGTGGCTCATAAAGCAAATGCTGCACCCTGGAGGTGGCTATCTTATTAGGGACACTAGCTGACTTGTAGGAAAGCTGGCCCAGGGAGTTACACACTCCAGATCTCTTCTCTGTCCATCACAGCAGGCTGCTTATGGAAGGTACTTCCAGCTGTTTCCTCTGAACACTGCAACAGTGACAGTGTGGGTGGTGGGTCACCACCAGGGGTGATGTGTACACCAGCACCCCCTGGAGGGTCACCCTCACTGCAGAAGCCGGGGCAGGTCTCTGTTCTGGAGCTCTTGGCCTGACCGTGTGCAGGGGGCATGGCCTGACTTGTGCGCATGCTCTCCGATCATTTTGTCCGCTGGGTGGATATGATCAATCCAGTGGTGTCTGTGAAAAAGCCTGGGCATGCGCTCTCTGCTGCAAATGGGAGCAGCACTGTGATTTCCTTCCCTGTGGCTCTCGTGGGTACTGGAGAGAAAGCATTCTCTGTCAAGATTGGGATGATTGCGGGCTTAAAAAGGAAGTGGAGCTAAAGACAGGGAATGTGGATGCAGAGAAAATTTTGACACTGGTTTCCTTGTCAGAGCCCATGCAGCAGCTCCACAGACTTAGACAGCGAGTCCTGTTACAAACCTAGTCCTAGAGTGAGTTTTGTTACTTCTCCCACCACTGTGAAGTCAATCCTGATTCATAAGGACCATATAGGACAGAACAGAACTGCCCCAAAGGATTTCCAAGCCTGTTGTCTTTACAGAAGCCGCACCTTTCTCCTGTGCAGTAACTGGAGGGTTCAAACCACTCACCTTTTGGATAGCAGCTGACTGTTTTAACTATGTTTTCTGAGCTCCTTACATACATCAGATACACATAAAATAAAACCATGATGTACCAAACCTTAGCAGCCAGCCACTTAACTACGTCACTGGGGCTTCTCGTGTTAAAGGGAACCAGAGAGTTGGTTTTTTTTGTTTTTTTGTGTGTGTGTGTGAGTGTACCGTCAAATCAGATCTGACTGGTACAGGAAGAGATTGTCCCTCCTTTTCCCGGCAGAGCATCTGGTGGATTCGAACCGTGAGCCACTGGGATTGTAGTTGCAGCTCCTTGCCACTAGGCCACCAGAGCTCCCCTCAGAGAGTTGTTTTCTAGGAAGGCCTCTGACCTGGGAGTGTCAGGAGGTCTGAGCCCCCATCCTGCCCTGGATGCTGCTGCCTGCCTTCCCCCATCTCTGTCTGCTCAGCAAGTGACTCCAGTCCAGACCCAAGAAGGTGTTTAGTCACCTGTCAGTGAGGACCTCCCGTGGGGCAGACCAGCTCAGTGGTGTTCTCTTAGTGTCACCGTGTACCTGGAACTGGGCTCGGGTCATAGGTTTTAAAAATTCGCCCAGGGCAGGAGGGATGCACAGTTGAGACCCCATGTCGAGCTCATCATATGGTGTCAGGGGCCGTGTGTGAAGGTGGGAATGAGAAGGTGTGTGCCTCACTGGCGGGTCAGGCTCCTAAGATACACGGTTCTTCCTTAGCTCTCAGAGTCCAATCAGTGAAGGACTTATCTTAGTTGATGGTTTCCCTTCTTCCTTTGCAGGACAAAGAAGATGGGGAACCAAAGACCAAGCAGCAGAGAGAAGAGGAGGAGGAAGTGGAGAAGCACAGGTAATGCCCAAGGTGGGAGTAGTGTTGACCTTCTGCTAGCGAACTGGCCTCTCCTGCATCCTGGTCTCTGTGTCCTCCCAGGTTGGCCTCCAAAGTCCTGCCCAGCCCTTCCTGCTCAGAACTGAAGATCTCAATTCTCTTCGTTTTCCCCACTTGTTATCCAGCACTGCCAATATTTTTGTAGTGATCTCATTCAGTGTCTTGTCATTCTTCTCAAACACTTTGTGTGGCATGGTTTTTGCCGTCAAGTTTATTCTGACCCATAGTGACCCGAGAGGACAGCGTAGATAGACCTGCCCATAGGATTTCCAGGGCCTTAAATCTTCATGACGCAGACGGCCTCATCTTTTTCCTGAGGAGTGACTGGTGGGTTCAAACTTCTGACCTTTTGGTGAGCAGCTGACTAGTTTAATCACTGTCCCATCACAGTGCCAACAAAATTGGGTCCCGGTTCTTCCCTGGATTTGTAAGTATGGCCCTGCCTGGGCAATGCAGCCTCACCTGGTTTCCTGCAAACCACCTCTGGCCACACAGCATCCCTTAAACAGTGTTCCATCTCTTCACACTATCCTTGCAGCCTGGAATTCCTTTCTGTCTCTCTTGCCCTTTAACACATAGGTCTTTGTCGAGTTTTAGTTCAAAGGCTGCTGCTGTTTTTCCTGCCTCTGCTCACTCTCCTTGCCCCCTCCTCTTCCCACAGTAGTTCATTTGGAGTAGTTCCCTTATTTTGCCAAATGTCATCATCTGACGAGTCAGCAACCACAGTTTCCCAAACACAGCATCAGAGAGGGCTTTCCTCCCTGGGGGGTGGGTGGGTGGGGTTCCTGCTTGCAATCTCCTCTGCTGGTCTTGAGGGCCTGGGGCTTCATGTGCGGCTGTGCGTGGGAAAGCCCTGGGAAATCTTTCCTGGGACCATTGTAGAGGGAGTCGGACCCTTGTGAGCTGGTGAGAGCATTCGGGTCTGACTGGTACTAGAAGTTTCCGGGTGCCTCTTGCCCCTCCTCACATGTCCCACCCGGAGCTTCTGGTTGAGCCCATCCTTTAACAGCTTGGAGAATTTTGTCTTTGTTTTTGAGGATTTCATGATTGTTTAGTACGATTTGACTAAATCCTGAGCGGTAGCATTCACTGATTTTCCACTCATGTTGTTTGATAACCTTTTATTTCCCTTCTAAATCAATACCTCTCCTTTGTCTCTTGCTGTTTATATCACTGTCACTGTGTGTACTGCATCTGGGAGCAAGGATGCACTTTATTATAACTCTGTCATAATCTTATGGGACCATGAGTGTGTGTATTTGCTAAGATGTTGCCGTAGCCGATCTTTTGTAGAATGTGACCATACTGACTTAATTGGTTCTCTGCTCTGTACAGAGCACCATTTAGGCTCCTGGGATGTAAGAGTGAACAAAATCCAGGCTTTGCCCTCAGAGAGCTGACAGTCTTGAGCAGGGAACAGGCTGTAAAGAAGTAAGCAGGGGTGTGAGGTACGCCGTCAGGTGAGATGAGGAAAGTGAAAGCGATTGGCGTGTGGACATGTGCGTGGGGAGTATCACCAGCCTCTGCTTAGCAACGGCCTCTGGGGAGGCAGAGAGGAAATGGGATTAGGGAATGGCTTTATCTCTGGTGTGTGATTTAAGGGGAAAAAAGAGGGAAGGATAAACTGGTCTCAAATGTGATAAAATGTCTTTTAGTTGATCTTGGGGAAGCGAGTACACGTGTTACTTACTGCATGAACTTTTTTGTGTGCCTGAGATATTTTTTAATAAACTCTGAGGAACTGAAGGGGGCTTTTTCGTGTGCCTGAGATATTGTTTAATAAAAACTGGGGAACTGAAGGGGATGCCCATAACTCTAGGTTGCTTAGCGTGAGCTCTGGATAAGTGGCCATGCTGTGTGAGATGTCACAGAGGCCCCTGCTCACCACCAGCCCTCACCTGTAGTCCATTAACTGGAGCACGTTCATTCCTTGTGTATTTTGCTCACAGCAGCCCAGAGAACAACTATGTTGCATACTGACTATTCTTCAGTCAGGCTTTTTTTTTTTTTAGGCAGTGGGTTATGGGGGAATGGATCTAACCTAATACTTAAAACTTGGCTTCTGGGGCTGTCCTACTAGATTTTTGATGGAGTACTGTCTGTGTGTGCAACACATCATACCCAATTGACAGTATCATCCTGGGGGACCTGGTTGTGTTCCTAGCCTTGGGGAGCTCACAGCTCATGGAAAACCGGACTTTTTCTCCATCCCTGTCCTACTGATGACCCACTGCCCAGGCAGAGGCTTTGCCAGCATTGCTGCCTCAGGGTTCAACCTAGGGGCCACCCAGCCTGTGCTGCTCTGAAGCAACACACTGTTGGACTCTTTTCCTCTTACTAGTATGCGAAGGACACTGCTCTTCTGACACTGTGAAGCCTTGTGCTATTCACCTAATCAGTCCCAGGCTGTCTCCAAAGCCCCAGACAGTGTGAGCTTAGAGAAGGAGCAGTGAGAGAGGGCCAGGAGAGAACCCAGGAAAGGATGGGGCTCAGCTACAGATCACATGTGGGGCCCAAAGTCTCTTCCACCCTTTCTGTCCTCATTTCATGTCCTCTTCTATAAAGCAGATAGCTGGAACTAGTGGATCTACTATGTCATTCCCATCTTAACCAATCAGGTGGGTTCACTCTGCCTCCAGCCTTCCCAGCTTCACCTGAGGGTAAACCCATCATCCCCCATGGCTCAGGACAGACAGCTTGAAGCTGCCTTTCACTCCTCTTTCCTTCCACTTTATCTCTGGCCCATCAGCGAATCCGGTGTAGACTATTTTTCACCTCTTCCACTGCAGCACTTGGGGACCAGCCCCCTTCTCTGTCCTGGATCACTGGTCACCTCTTAGGTAGATTCCCAGTTTTGGCCTCCCCACGCCCCCAGAAGCCCTCGGCTACTGACTAAATCCAGATTGAGTCTGCCAGTTCCCATTGTCCTTAGAATGTAATCTATACTCCCAGCAGCCCCCATGGGGTCTGGTGACGTGGCCTTCTCTGCCTCGCCTCTCCTCCCCATCCCACCATGCACTTAAAGCCCTGCCTTTTCCTTTCCTTGAACATGGAAGGGTGGTCCCAGCCTTGGGAGCTGCCCCATGGCTGGGATGCCCTTCCTCCCAGTGTGGCCTTGCTGAGTTGCCTTGTCATTCAGATAATAGATAAGGTCAGCTTTGAAGAGGACTCTCTGGCTGTTCAGTCAGACAGCCCAGTTGTTCCTATCACATCACCCAATTCTGATTATCTGCAGAGATGCGGAATACTTTCTGGAACTTGCCTTGATTATGCATTTTTCTGTTTCCCCCGGTAGTATGGTGCTTGTTCCCCACCGTGCCCCCACACACCAAGTGCTGGGTAGTTTTTTTGCATGTTGTTCTTGTGTACTGTCGAGTCAGAACCATCCCATAGCTGACTGTCCAGCAGGTTTTCAGAGGCAGTAAATCACACAGGAGGAGCTTAACCAGCTTTCTCCCTTGGAACAGCTGGTGGATTTGAACCATGTATCTTTGGATTGGCAGTGCAGTTCCTTACAGCTAAGCCCCCGCAGCTCTCTTTTGCACAACGGGGGGTGGCTAATGGACTTAAACGTCATTTCCAGCCCTCCTCTTCTGTTGCCTTTTCCTCCCCTGTCTCCTTTTCTCCATTACCGAGTATCTGATGTGTACTCAGCAGACTTGTCCATCCTGCATGTGGTGGGCACTCAGTTGAGTTGGATGGGATCTGCCCCTCCCTCCCTTTACTCTCAGTGAGGCTCTGCAACCTGGCTCCCATCAGACTGCTGGGAGTCTATAGGAAGTGCCTATGCTGGGTCCACCCAGAGATTTGGAGTCGGGGGTCTTGTGCAGTCAGGTGAGAGGGCTGTGGGACAGCTGACTGAAGGGTCCTGGGAAGGCTGTGCTGAGGTGACCAGGTGCTCCACAGTGTCATGGTCCCTTCTCTGTGCATCTCGTTGCATTAAATTCACCCGGCAAGATGGACCATGTAGAGTACAGTCAGGTAGACTTCTCCGAGCATCCCTTACCTGCTGGGATCTCCAGAGAGCTCCCCGAAGCCAAGGAAGCTGAGGTGCTCACAGGCAGTTCAGTGTTGGTGGCAGTTATGCTGACTTTGTGGCCCCCAAGAAAAAGTAGGCACTTTGACTTTAACAAATTTAGAGCAAAGACCTTCTTGAATGACTCATCTTCCATCACCCCCTGCTCAGTGCCTTGATGAGAAGAGGTGATCTGGTGGCCTGGGACGCTGGCCTACAGAAAAGGATGTTCATGGCAGTTTAAAAAAAAAGTCCTTGTAGTCACTTCCTCTGGTGGCAGGCCAGCTGATGGTGCATGAGCCTAGAGTTCCAGGTCAGCAGTGTGGGCCCCGCTCACCTTAGGGACTGCAGGTGGAAGCGGTTCCTGGTGTGGGGCTGGGAAATGTGCCTTGTTGAATGTCTGACTACATGCAAGCCCCTTGGCCCCTTCAGCTCCCGCCCCTCAGCTTTGGATGGGTCTGTGCTCAGCTGGAACGTCTGTCATCTATCAGGACAGCGGTTGATCTGGGCTGGACTGCACTCTGCAGAAGAAACTGGGCCACTGGCCTTCCTGCTTGGGAATGGAAAACCTGTTCTTCAACTCCACACACATGACCCCTTTCTGGAGAGAGGCCCCACCCCAGGCCTGGCCTGGTGCCCAAACCCTTCAGGCTGGCAAATGCCCAGCCTCCATTCCTTTGGGAGTCTGGTCCTGGGGATGGTGTGTGCAGCAGGGTGTGCTCTCAAACTCCTGACATGGAGTTGATCTGGCAAACCTTGCTCCGCTCTGGTGGTAACAAACAGGAGGGCTCCTCTTCATGCTTCCTGAGCTACCTTACTCCCACCTCAAGGCCTGGAAGGTCCCAGCCCTGGGCAGTAGTCCCAGCCCTGGCCAGTGGTCCCAGAGATTCGTGCTGAGGCAGCTGCACAGACACTGTGACCACCCTGTTTTTCTTGACCCTGTGTC